TTCATATGGTTTTCTTCAATAGAGTGAGCATAAGTTCCACCTCCAGCCTTTTAGATGCAGCATATATGATGCAAGATTTCTACTGTATTAATAAAAATTGACACATTTTATATATTTTATCTAGAGTTTAACTTTATTTAACTCTATAAAGACACTGACATTCATGTCAAACGTTCAAAATATTTGACTGATTGATAAGGTTTATTTTAAACACGTTTAAATTCAACACAAAAGTTGAACAAAGAAAAAGAAATTCATTATGTCTTTAATGTGCTTTGTTTAATCCAATTCCTTCTCAGTCACTCGTCACAACTATTGTAGGCGGTACACTGTTATATACAGTTTTTTGGCACGCTGAAGTAAATAAATACCACATCTGGCGCTGAGTGTTTACAAATAAACAAATATCCCCGCCCCCCTGAGGCGGGAGATGTGTACATTTAACGTTACGAAATAAGCCAATTAAATTTTGTATACTAAAAGTAGTTACAGTAACTAAGAAGCTCATTGGTTGTCGATCACTCAAGGGGCGGGGCATCTGATTCCCATCCTCCTGTCACAGAGAAGAAGGAAGCTGCGTACAGTACCCTCTGAACGCTTGTTTAAACTGAACGCTGACAAGTTGTGGTAGTTTTTCCGTAAAACGCACAGAAGTAAGGTAAGTTACACTGACTCCAGGCACGTGTGTGAAGTTTGTAATTACAGAACGGTTGAGAGACGGAGTGAAGCCAGCGCAGTTGTTACCTAAATAAATATTTACTGATTGGCTAAAGGTTGTTAGCTTGATCAGCAGTGTTACCAAAGCGACCTACAGCCTATATTTTATGTTTTAACTCTGTCTTTTCCTTTTGATGGCTTGTCTTTGAGGTAGTCGTAAGTTTTAGGAGTGTTTGCATGCTAAAGTGTTTTTACTGCTTTGCCTCTCCTCCCTTTTTCTTATCTCATCCTGAGAGTTTTATCTGCTCAGTAGATTGACCAGCCTTAACTGCCAACCATTACATTTCCCTCTAAAGACTGGTTCTGCTCAAATGTTTTTGAGTTTTTGCACATTGGAGACTTAATTGTAATTCCTTCTTACATAAGCCACTGACCTAAGAGAATAGCATTAAAAAAAACTTAACCTGTGTGTAAATTTGATGTAAAAGAAAAGCTAAGCAAACTTATTATTACTGATGTTTATATGTCAACAGAGTCATTATCAGTTATTTATGCTTTATTAATGTTTATGCTGCAGCCTAAGATGCAACAAGCATAGATAGATAGATAGATAGATAGATAGATAGATAGATAGATAGATAGATAGATAGATAGATAGATAGATAGATAGATGATGGATGGATGGATGGATGGATGGATGGATGGATGGATGGATGGATGGATGATAGATAAGGATTCCAAACATGGTAATCATGGTAGCCATAGGGCTGTGTTTTACCAAGTAGGGGTGTAAGAAAATATCGATACACTGAAATATCACATTTCATTTCCCGATACTGTATCGATATTCTAAAGCCATGTATCGATTTTTTAAGGTTTAAAATGTCAACTTTCCTGCCAGCCGTTCATTTTTATRTTGTAGTTCAGCCTCTGACAACTAGTTGGCAGCAGTGAGACAGCCACTTGGCTCCTCTAGCTCTTGAGGTAGAAGCCATTGTTAAGTGTTGAGTGACCATAATGTAAATTAATATTAAGAAGTAAAAGCTGCAAAAAATATATTTTCAAACTATTTATTGTCAAATTTAGTCTAATAATTGAAAACATGGATGAAATAAGAAATATGAAACAAATAAAATAAAAACACATCCAAAGCAGAACACAGCTAAATGTATCAAAAGTATGTCTATGTGATATTAGAATTTTCTGAGACAATGAATTATGGTTTTTCATTTTTTTCCCCCTGTAAGAGGTTTTTATTTAATAGAATTTTTGGACAAAAAAAATCGCAATATATCGCGATATATCGCCTTGCTTATAGTATCGCAATATATCGGGATATATCGCATCGTGACCCCTCTGTCATGATATGTATCGTATCGCCAAATTCTTGCCAATACACAGCCCTAKTACCAAGTAATTGGTGATACAGTACAACACATGGGTCACAATATGAAATATTGCAATACTGTAAGCAAGGCGACACATCGCCATTTTCCTCCAAAAGATTCCATTTTTAAGTCAGTATGAAGATCATACCGTGCCTTACTGGAGGTGTATATGAAGTATGTCTATGTACTGTATGTCAGAAGAACTCTGAACAACTGTGAGAACTGCATTTGCATTTTCTTCTAACAATTCAGCCATTAAGCCTTAATAAAAAATCCATAGTGTTTCTGAGAATTGACACAGTATTAGGAATTAAAATATGGCAATATTTCAATGTATCAGTTTTAGGGTTGGGCATAATCGTATCGTGTGCAATTAATCGTCAGAAAAACATTGATCGATTTACTTTTTGGCACTTGACCATTAATACGATTGATACCACCAGGCAGACTGACTGGGGATTACTCGGGTCAGTCCGCTCGGTGCTCCTCTCCGCTTCAAATATGACGAACATTAAAAATAAAGTTCTGTATTTATTTATCTATCAACACAATTTTAAATTTGACATATAGCCCGAAGTCTTTAATTCTGGCACAGTTTGGAACCGATTTTTACGAAGAGCAAATCTTACCCATTAAACTGGTCATGTGACTAGGACATAAGAGTGTCCAGGGACTCCAGGGGATTAATCGTCAAATTAATCGTTATCAGCTAAATACCCCAATTAATCGTGATTATTTTTTGCAAATATTGCCCATCCCTAATCAGTATTTTCTTACATCCCTATTACCTGCTTTTGTAAACAAAATGGTAGACTACGTGAACACGTCCACTTTGTTTTCTCGACAGTAACGTCATGGCAACAGAAGGAGAGCCGACAGACTTAATTAAAGTGCTGCACCTTCTGACTCTCTCGTTTACCTGGGGCATGCAGGTCTGGGTCTCCTTTATTGGAGGTAAGAGAAGTGTAAATATGAAACCAAATGTGCAGCATACTGAACACATTCCTGTTTCAACACTTGAGTCTGACTGGTGTGTCTGCAGGTTTTGTTCTGGTGCGACAGGTAACACGTCACACCTTTGGACTGGTCCAGAGTAAGCTGTTTCCTGTCTACTTCTACTGCCTGCTGGGAAGTAACGTTGTCAGCCTGGCAGTGTTTGCTGTCTACCACCCCAGGGAGTTACTGGACTGGCATGAAAGTGTGCAGGTCGAATATCACATAATGGAACATGCAGAAACCTTTGGCTGGTTGGAAAATCCATCATGGTCCAGAATGTGGATAATTGTAGTCTTGCTAATAATAATGTCGTCCTGTTCCTCTCATCTTACAGATGTTGATGTTCTTTGTGGCGCTGACCATGGCGGGGTTAAATGGACAGTGGTTCGGCCCAGCAGCTACAGAGGTGATGTTCCAGATGAGGGAGGTGGAAGAGGAGCACGGCCTGGGGAACCAGGTCGGCCTGAGCAGCCAGAAAGAGGCCTACGCTAAGCTGAGGGAGCAGGACCCAAAGTACAGAGCCTACAGGAGCACGTTTGGGCGATACCACGCGTTGTCCAGCATCTGCAACCTGATAGGGTTCATCTGCACCACAACAAATTTGATTTACACCGCTCTGAATCTGTCCACCATTTAAAGATTGTATTAGGCAACATTTCAGGTCTTCAGATCTTCATCGTATGTCTTGGATGAAGATCTGAGGACTATAAGTCATAGTAGTCAACAAGATGTTTTTAGAATGAGCAACAAAAAAAATGAACAAGTGGGATTTTGTAGATTTAACTACCCTGTGTTTTTCAACCTAAGTGTCTTTATGTGCAAGGATCTAAAGCACTCTGCATCAAAGCAAAGCAAGATTAGATGAAACGTGTGTTTCAGATGTAGTGAAGGTTCACCTCAAACATTGTAGAGTGAGAGGTGGAAGTATGGAAAGCCAAATGAGACATAATTCATGCTTTTTAAATGCCATCTGGCATCTAARAAACAGAGTTAAGTGCATTCCTGGGCATTTTAATTATGAACAAATATTTTAAGGGAAACATTCAGCTAATTCTAAAGCTTGGTGTTTTTTTATGTTTTGTGCATTTTGGGTGTTCTTTTTAGATTAACAGATTTCATTCTGTTTTGTTTTGCCATCTATTTTGCATCAAGCTGAAGTCAAGTWCAAAACAACAGGAACAAGTTTTTTTATTCTATTTCTTTTAACCAACGAGAGCGATGCCTTTTACTTTTAGAGTTCATCAAAGTTTTAGTTTAACACATGGTGTATAGGGTTTACAGGTCAAATTGGATAAATAAAACTGTACTTTTTTTCTTTTTAGTTTTATTGTAAAGTTGCAAAACCCTATACTGCTATGTATGAATCGCTAGGAGCCTCCCGCCAGGGTGGTTCATTCTTCTGTCTCTGCTTCAAGAAAGTTGTTTTATGTTTGAAAGAGGTGGAGAAAATCGTGTTTATTTCGTTTCCCAATTGTACCAAACCCTTAAACTGTGACATGCTGTGACGTTTGTGTACCGTTACCCCACTACTAAAGTTGATAATTAGATAATAAATAAATAAATAAACTAATTTATCCATTTTCTATGAACAGTCACAAAGTAAAATGTAATTTATTGTTCTTGAACTGATCACAATTAAATAATCTTTTTTTTTTCTGTAGCACAGAGCCAGACTGTTCTGTTGTAGTTACCTTTTATCTCCAACAGGAGGCAGTAACACTTCATTTTTAGATTTCTTGATTCTCAGTATTATAATAAAATGTGTTTTATTGTCAAAATAGTTGCATTATCATTGTGATTGAAAGATTAAACAGAGCTTTTCTGACCTATTGTGTTTGCAATCTATTTAATTGTTTTTGTTTTTTACTGACTTGATTATAAAACAATTTGAAAGCTAAAATCAAGCACAGGTACAAGGATACCTTTTTATAAATATGCTGTTTTATTTTTTTATTTTTTGGTGGGGTGTAGCTGGTGAATCCACAAAAAGTAAACAATGCTTGGACTCTGAGTAGGCAGGTTTTAATGTAACTACTGCAGAGGCACATCAGGTTAGAGGAGCAGCCTTGGAGGCAGAGCTGCAACAGGATCAGAGACGCTGTCTCATTACAGATATGGCAACCCTAATGGATAGTAATGGATTCATTTCAATATGAAAAGCATGAACTGAAAGTAAATAGATCAGGTTGTCCCAAATGTGAGTTAATGCCTTGCCCCTTTTTCCAGGGGCGGAGCCAGGGGGTGGCCATGGCCACCACAGACAAATCTGGCCACCCTGCTGTACACACCCCTTCCACAGTGACACAACCTTTAGGGGTGTAATAATCCTCCTGAACAGTTGGTGGCAGTGTTTAACAGTTTGAAACATCACCAAGCTCTATCACTGAAGAAGAGTAATGACAAGAAAAGGATGATTTTCTTTATTTGCAGAACATATGCCTATGTAATCTGATTTATGGTGTCAACTTTTGGATTAATGGAGACAAATGTTTTTGTCTTGTTTTTTTATATATATATTTTTTGTACATGTATAACACCGTGTAATTTTATGTTCTGAAGGCTGCATGATGCTCTGTGTTTGGTTATGAGTAGCCCTATCACTAAATCAGAAAAAGTAAAACACAACTGTAAATTCACTGTTGGTGAGATTATCAGTGTTGCACCTGTTCATTGGGTAAAATTATTCATATTAGTTTTAAACATGCAGCTGAGGGTCATCATTATTTGTCACAATGACGTGTTACAATTAAAAACAAATCAATAAACAATATAAAAATAAAAAGCACCCCTATAGTCATTGGATATGATAAATTGTGACACATTAATTAACCTTATCTCAGCTAAAGCAGTGAGTTTAAAAACAGGATGACGGAAATAGTTTAATGAATAATTGGTCTATGAAAAAATTACTATATCAAGTATTCATTTATGTAAAGTATGTTTAACGACCTGGTAAAATACACCAGAACGCTGGAAATGGCATCTATTTCGTTCAAGATTTTCTGGGGGAGGACCCCCAGACACCCCAACGGTGCCCCTCTGCCCACGCACAGACACACACACACACACACACACACACACACACACACACACACACACACAC